TCTTTTTTTTCCTTTTACGAGGCAAAGAGTTGATTGTCCCGCAAATCTTTTAATACCTCGTCGCGTGAACTTTCCCGAAACAACTTCCTTTATCCACGCTCGCGACCGATAAAAATGCCAACTGCGGGAAAACATTTCCCCCTCCCTCCTCCCCCGGATAAAAGCTAACCTGTCCGTGAAACGAATCGAATCGTCGTTTCGCGACAAAACGGGCGGAATTCAATGTTGGCTGAGAAAAAAAAGAAAAAAGTTGGTTGAGAAAAATTATTTATAAAAAAAAAAAAACCTTCTCTGGGTATAATTCTTTAGACAGAGATTCCCGTTTCCCCCTCCTGTCCAAGAAGAAATATATAAACGTTCTCCTTCTTATCCTGTCCATTTATTCGTAAAGTATTATTTCGTAAAGTATTATTTCGAAATAATCGCGAAAATGTTGAGAAATTCGATAGTTGTTTCGAAGCGGATTCTCGAAATGGATTTACTCGTGGAACGCATCGTGAACCGATCTGTTTCACGGAATTCGGCGTATCGTATCCTGGTTTCGTGTTAAACGACGTTGCACGCCAAACGTGTGCTGTTGTTTTACAACCGATAATTTCATTCCCCGATTTCATGCCGCGCTCGTGTTACATTTTCCGTAGAGAAAAGATTCTTGTGCTAATTCTCGTCGCAACCTCGCCCTTTCCTCCGCCACGTTTTCAACTATGCAATGTACATTTTTTTTTTTTTTAACGAGGCAACCTGCGCTAGTTTGCATGACGCGAACCGCATGCATTGTACGCGACGCATGGTGCGCGACAATGCACCATCCGCAATGTTCAGTTACACGAGTAATTTGACCGTGTAGCTCGCACAGTTTCGCGCATATTTTCTTCCACCCTGTGGTTTCGCGATAGCGCGAAAATAGGAGGCCAAGAGAGCCGAAGAGAACTTTTGAAAAAAAGGGGGAACAATGATCGAGATGACTTGACTCGAGAGGAGAGGAATTATTGACGAGAAAGAATGCTCCCGTTTCCACGGCTCTCGTTTCTTTTTATTTCCTTTCTGATACATCCTATTACCGATTTCGATTCGAAAAAATGGGACACGCGAAAACGAGATTTTGCAAAAAAAAAAAAAAATAGAAAAGCTCTCGTTCGTTTCGCGGTTACTGCGGGAGGATAAAAAGAATAGAAATAATTATTCAAAGTGCAATATATATATATATATATATATATATATATCAAAAAAAAAAAATAGATTCTATCTAAATTATGAAAATATATCCCTTGAAAAAGAAGGATCTTTCTGAACAAACGTGTAACGTTTGCCCATGGCATGATATAACTTAATTAACATACCGGCGTAATGGAACTCGGACATCGATCCCTGATTCTGTTCTGAAAGCAAGCTTGAAAAGTCAAAGCTGAAAGGATGAATCGCGTGAAATCGCAAAGGGCAAAACTACATTCCACGGAGGACGTAAATTATAATATATCGGATGGATGGAAATTTATGGAAACCGTAGCTCGATATTTTTATGTAGCGATTTTTTTCTCTTTTTCTTTTTTTTTTTAATTCACCTCAGCCAAAGAAAATCGTATCGCAAGAATTGAAAATTTTCCTAAACGCTTTCTAATCGGATCAAGGATCAGGGCAATCGTCGAAACACGTGTATATCACGTTGATGCGAGGTAAAAGTTCGATAGATGCCGTGATAGGAATTTCGATGCAACGATGTATGTTTCTCTATCCTTCGGATAGATTTAAAAAGTGAGCGTTACAAGACCTAAGCTAGAGAAATCCTCGAGAACACCTGTTGATCGTTCTCGTTAAAGTTTGAAGGAACCGACCTGGACTAGCCTGGACACGCGAGCTGAAAGACGATTGCTGCTGACGTAGAAAAAAAAAAAGAAAAAAAAAAAAAAAATTGGCGATATTTCCTCACGAGCGAATTTTCCCGCCTCGTCACGGTATGCATACCAATTTTCAACGCTTATTTTTCCATTTAACCTTTCACTCGAATTTATATTTTTCATTCATCAAACGTTAACTCGAATAATTGAATTCAAATGTTCGAATCGAAAATTTAAATTCATAAATTTAAGCCCGATTTTTTTTTTTTTTCTTTATTCAATTGCAACGTGATTAAAACAACTTTCAATAATAATACCACGTTTCATTTCGTCGCTCCTACATTTTCCTGTAGTGACGTCCTCGTCCCAAGACGGGGTTTAATTTATTTAAAATATTTAACAATAGTGCCATTGTATATATACATATATTTTTTTTCCCCTCCTCTCACGATGCCCCAATAATTTTTATCAACGGCGTATACGCTCGCTCTTTCCCTGTTTTATCGAAAAATACGTGGAAAGGGTAAACGGAGTGTAACAAACGGCGATGCAGCTTTTTTTCGAACTCGAAAGCGAGCAGCGAATACCTTCACACGAATCGAGAAAAAGGAATCGGGGATAAGAGCTTACACCGTTCGATACATCCTATATTCGAAATATCCCGACGTTCGGTCGAATATTTTGCCTGTGAAAAAAAAATCGCGCGCAAGAGAACGTGATTTTTTAATTCGAGGTAATAAAAATATACAAACGAAAATGTTTTACGACGCGAAAGCTGTCTCGTACGAACGCAAGTTGGAAAGGAAAGGAAGGAATCCACGTCCCCGTGGTTTGATCAATCTCGTATCGGTAAAGGCGTTATATTTTGAACGTGCGAATATATTTAACGGAGCGCGATTAAAATTATAAATCAAAGGCCGCAAATGAAAATACGAATTGAGGGGGAAATGGAGGGAGGAGCACGCGGGAGAAAAAAGACAGAGGGAGGGAGTGATTTAAATCGAGATAATTAACGAGGAAAACGCCGCCCTATTATAATTTCATCGGGAAAATCGCGTACGTTCATACGTACGAACGTTCGAGTAAAATAATAATTATTCTTTAACGAAGCTTATTCGATCCCCATGCGTTCACACCATCGGAAAAATCGGTTAATCAATCGAGCCTTTCCTTTCAATTTCACCGAGATCAATTCACGATTTCACGCGATTGAAAATCCAAAATATTGCCAAAGAAAATCTTCTTGAAAAAAGCACGTGCTGATCGTCATCATCGCGCGATCAGAGGGAACGCCTGTGTTAACTCTTTTAAAGCGGCCTTCCTTTCAATTTCACCGAGATAAATTCACGATTTCACGCGATTAAAAATCCAAAAATCTTGTTTCGTTTTTTCTTGAAAATTTAAAAATCATTATCAAGAACTCGCACGTGCTGATCGTCATCATCGCGCGATCAGAGGGAACGCCTGTGTTAACTCTTTTAAAGCGGCTGAATAGCCGTTGCCCTCGAGTGATCCCTGTTCCACGGACAGACAGAGAAAGAGAGACAGAAAGAGAGAAAGAGAGAGAGAGAGAGAGAGGGAGAAGAGGGAGAGAGTTGCAAAAGAGCGCATTCATCGATCCTTTTTCGCGTCTACTAAATTTCAGATTGGATCACGATGGATCAAAGTCGTGGAGGATGGGGCCACGGTTCAGAGAGGTGTTTCACGCGTGTTCAACGCGGCGCATTCGACGACATTCAACGACCACCTAACAACTCACCGGACCACCGGCTGCGTAACTAAGATTACGCTGACTGTCAGCTGTCCGCGTCCGAAAACGAAATGAAAATACCATTTGACACGGATTTCGCTTCGAGAGCAGAAAATAGAGGAAGACAGAGAGAGAAAGAGAGAGGAAGAGAGAGGGAAGCGAGATCTTTTTCCAGATCGAATTTTTCCATTGCTCCTGCATACCACCATCGCTACCACTCTTATTAATCCAAATACCTCTACTAAGAGACAATAAAATTCGACGAATAGAATTTTATCCATCCGGGAATAATTAATATTTTCGAAACAGTATAGATTTTTTCCCGAACGATGTCAATTAAGATTAAAAAAGGAAATTAAGAAATAATTTCGAATAATTGAAAACGGGGTTAATAAGAGAATTATTTAAAATGTTCTTATATTATACGTTAATCTTATCTTATCTTACCCCTTTGTTATAAATATTTCCCGCAAAATTCATTGCGTTATTTCTTTCTTTTAAGAGAAATCCTAATTAAGACGTATTAAGAAACGTATTTATCCTCCGTGGAGAAGATTGAAGAAAATTTGAAGGGGGATTTAATCCGCGATACTTGGAATCTCGAACTTGCTTCCCCCTTGGAAGCTTGCATTTTTGAGAAATTAAAGGCAAACAGAGAGAGAGAGAGAGAGGGGAGGGGACGCCTCTCTCGTCGATTTCGCGGTCTCTTCTTGTTTGAGAAAAGGGTGGAAAGGATCGGTCACTTTAATTGATAAAAAAAGAAGGGAGGGAAACGGGGGGAATAGGAGTGGAGGAAGACACGAGTGATGCAGAAGAAATTGTCGAGGGAGGCTTTTCGGGGGAGGGGGTTGGTGCTTCTACTTCGCTGCGGATATTTAGAGAAAGCAGCGAGGCCCTTCGAGGTAAAAAGGTCGACAACGACCTCTGTTTAAAAATATCACTACTGGAGACTGCTGCTTGTTCCAGCTTGGGGCGGTTTACACGGAGCCAATTACTTTCACAGATGCACCCGTTACTTCCGTTTCATTCGACACACATCTAGAAGCTACGAGTTACGCGCCTCGGCCATCTCGAGATACACCTTTTGTATTTCCAATAATGTTGAAATTCGATAATAAGGAAGAAAATCGTTATGCCTTTTTATATAAGAGAAAAGAAAAGGAAAGGAAAGGAAAGAAAGGAGAAAAATAAATAAAAACAGAGGCGAGCTGTTTCGAAACGTAAAAGAGAACGAGAGGAACACGATATCTAAACTCGATCTTAATACGAATACGTCACGAAGAAAGAATTTTCCACCAGTCACGTGAGGCGAAAATTTTAACCATAGCAGACACAAGATACGCGGCGAATAAATTGATACGCGGTGAAAAATTACGAGGAAAGAATTGGGAAGAAAATGGAATGAACGAACTCACCCTAATGTGGTCATCGTGACGATCGTGTACCAGAACGCGGCAGGTATCGAGGTGAAGTTCGTTCCATCGACGTTCTTCTCCGCGTAGAACATCACGGTTGCGAATATGATGATCGCCATTGCGAGGGAGAAGACGAGGAAACCGAGCTCCGAGGCGCACGATTTCAACGTGTAACCGAGGATCCTGAGCCCTTGCGAGTGCCTCGAGAACTTGAAGATCCGGAACACACGGAAGACGCGCAACGTAACGAAAGCACCGGATACGTCGTCGTTGTCGGTGATGCCGAGGCCGATGTAGTACGGGAGGATTGCGACCACGTCTATGATAGACATGACGGATCGCGCGAACTTACACCGGCTCGGGGCCGCGAACAGCCTCAACAGATATTCCGCGGTGAATATCATTACGCACGCGGTGTCCAGGCAGAAGAATACGATCTTGTAACGCTCGCCGCATGAAAGCGTACCGGCGCGTCCCGGACGATTACCGCACGGCACGGTCTCGACCACGTTCGCCAGCACGCTCACGGCGATGAAGAATCCTGTTACATAATAAAATACCAAAGCCGCCGTCGAGATGTGCGGATTCTGGAATGCCCTCCACATCTTTTGCCTGATGTCCGGCAACTGCTGAAGAGTTTGATCCCCGTTCTCGCTCAGCTTGTCGTCCATCAAACGCTCCGCGTTCTCGCGTTTCCTGTCCCGATAATCCTCGTAACAGCAATCGCCGATCACGTCCGGCAATATACCGAAGAACGCCAACTCCTCGTCGTAGCTCGTCAGGCATTCGTGCTTCGGATAATGAAGCTTTCCGGTTCTGTAATAGTTCAATATGTGGCGGAATATGTCTGGATCACGGTCGAAGAAGTACTCTTTGCTCTCCTCGTCGTAAAAGAACTCGCGCTCGTTCGAACCGAGAAGAGTGTCCGGATACTTCTCGAGGGTGTTCCGCCATGTCTCGAAGCGACGGCCGCTCACGTTTATCAATAATTTCTCGTCGTCGGCCTTGCGACGATCCTTGGGGATCGGCGGCGGTGGCAGTGGATGTGTGGCGATCGGCACCCAACCAATCGCCGCCGCACGAGCGAACGGCAGCCATGCTGCCACCGAGGCCATGCTCGAAGGTGGAATAGTTTCCTTCCTTTCCTAAGTTTTTCCACCTTTCCTCCCTCCTTTTCCCTCCTCTATTTTCTCTTACTATTATTATTATTATTATTATTATTATTACTATTATTACTACTATTATTATTATTATTATTATTATTATTATTATTATTATTATTATTATTATTATTACTTCACTCCGATTACTTCTCTCTCAATGTTCCCTCTTCAATCTTCCAGTTCACCTATCATCATCGTCGTTCCAATCCAACAATTAATCTCTAATCTCAATTTTGTCGCGTTTCTTCCTTTCGCGGCCAACATACGAGGTCACTTCGTTCTCCGATGTCACTTTCGTATCGATGTCGCGATCCTCCTTTCGCTGGATTTCGATCGCATTCACTCGATCGTCTCCCTCTCCTTTTGTTCTCGATTCCGTTCTTCGCGTCTCCCACGCGAGCTCCGCGTTTACCCGACGCCTCTGAATCGCGAGTAATCCGGCTAAAATTCGAGCGAACTCCTGGAGGAATCCCACCTCCCCTCCCCCCCTCCCCGGAGGAGAAAAGTGTGCCGGCTCGTTCCCGAGCGGAGGCAGAGGTAAATAGGTAAAAGCCCACGATGCTGATTTCGTTCCACGGATCGTTCGATCGTTAAAAATGTCCTCGACAATCTCGTCTCCGCTCGTGCTCGAGACCTGTCGCCATTCGAACGATCTGTCCGTCTGTATTAGCTGGTCGTGGTGCAACACCGGCAGCGTTCCCACCAGCTACGCGTCGACCACGACGACCACGACGCCGACGACGGCCACGACGACGTCGGCAATGACACCGCGATCCTAAGATCGTGCACGGCCACCAACTCCGTCATCGTACCACGGCATTCCTCCGCTTTTTTCCTATTTATTGTTTACTTATTGCCACTCGACTCGCGATATTAGCAACAGCAACAGCCCCTACCACTAGCAGCAACGCAGAGTCGCGAGCACCACGACAACCAATCGTCTTCTGGCAACTTGCCCCTCACCATCATCGATACCGTTTTCCCAGTATCGTCTCTCTGTTTCCTCCTTCCCTCCCCTCCCGCGATCGAACACGATCGAGATTCAAGATCCTCCACCTGTACTTGGTCCCCTCTTCTTGTTCTATCCAGTGTTGCACCTTGTGTGTCGGGTCGAACAACCAGCAGGAAACCAATGTATTCAATGTATCCTAGAGAATTACGTCGAGACACGATCCTGCTACATCGTCGAGCACGCGGAATATAATGGAAAGAGACCGATCCTTTCCGGTTCCATTCACTCGCAACACCGGGTATCGAGGCACAGCCACGTATTCGGCGACATTTTCATGTTTCGAACCACGCGGCGAATTATATTTCGATTTATTCACGATTATTTTTCGCGACACCTTCTGGTCGCGCGCGATCGATCCAATTATCTTTCCTAAGATAAATCGTCGTATCCTCTCTTGATCAATCCCTGTCGATCCGGGTCATCGTTGTTTTCTTCTTTCTTCTTCTCCCGGAAGAGGAACGAAGCTGGTGATGGTGATGGTGCTGCTGCTGATGTTACTACTTTCGTCCTTCCTCCACGATTTCTCTCTCGAGAGAGTTTCGCTTTCGTAGCGCCTTCGAGATTGAAGAGGATTAAGAGGAGAAATTTTTCCAACGACGAACGTTCGACACGAGGACGCCTTCAACGTCGAGGGAACGAGAGGTCGAAATATATTTTCGCGGTTTCCTGTTCGACGTGGCTCGCGAGCATCGTCCGCGAAACGTTCGACGAGCAGTGAGTGGCCGTGGTGCTGATTCAGCCTGTATCGTTCTTGGCACGCGCAAGCTTTTTTTACTCGCTCGAGGCCTGTCGCGGATCACACAGCACGCAAGGACCACGCTGATTCCGTTCGTCGACGTAAACGCGTCAGGGAGCGGGGAGGCACACGAGTTAAAAGCTTCACCGGTCGCGCAGATGTTTTCCACGACGCACAGCTCTCGCGATAGACGGCACGTCGCATGCGTCACACCGTGGACTCCTTCCTCGTGACACCACAACTCCGTACGTAGAGAGCACAGCCTTTCGTTTCAACGTTCGTACATTACCATTCGGCCAGCCGTCATTTTACTTCGCCACCGGACGGATCAATCCGTCCATCTTTTCGCAAAACCTCGTGTCCCACGACTCGACTCGATCGACCATCCGAGAAAAAACCGGGAAAGCTCGGAGAGAGTCTTCTCGACTCGTCCCGCAGCCTAACACTAATCCTTCCGAAAATTCACAAACTGCTCGCTTCTCCCCCGAATCTTTGATCCTCTTCGCGATACACTCCGATCGACCTCACCTCTGGGGAACGATTTACGAATGAAGGGAGGAAGATCAGGAAGCCGGCGCTCCCGCGACCCTCCTCGTTCGACCGGAACAACCCGGCCCCGAGAACCTTCTCTCTCTCTCTCCTCTGCGTGTTTACAAGCGTTCCACGCAGCAGAGTTGCTCCAACTCCCTTGTTGTGGTACGCGTCGTCCCCTCGCGTCGTTTCATCTCGCGTCCATCTGCGCACTTATTAAATTCAATCGGTCCACCACGGTTTTCGCACGATCCGAGGGAGGAAGGGAAAAAAGCGTTGGCAACCGATGACTTCACCGATGCTCGTCAGCGTGGCACGGAACCTCCTCCTCCTCCTCCTCGTGGATCATTGTCCTCCGTTGTGAATACGTTGTGAAAACGTATCGAAAAGTATCGAAAAGAGAGGGAGAGAGAGAATGTGTGTGTATACGTGTATATGTGTATGCGTGTGTGTGTGCGTGTGCGTGTGTGTGCGTGTGTGCGGCTGGTCGGCCGCGTGCGACGAATGGAAGGATGCGCGTCAGCGGACACGCTCGCCTGGCAGACGCGTTCTCTACCGTCTGGCGTACCCGCTCGGTTGACGACTCGCGACTGAGCTGCTGCTCGCGGTGCGGTATCGGTCAGGCGGTCGGTCGGTCGGTCGGTCGGTCGGTTAGTCGGTCGACTGGTCGGTCGGTCGCCTAGCTAGCTATCCAGCTAGCTAGCTAGCTAGCTAGCTCGCTCACTCGTTCGTTCGTTCGTTCGTTCGTTCGTTCGTTCGTTCCCTCGCTCGCTCGGTGGCGAGGTAACCGGCAGCTCCGGAAGGGAAGCGTGGTGCTCTCGAGCCTCGAGCCTCGAGCCACCGGAGCAGCCGCGACGCAGCGCCGAGCGAACGGTCACCTAGCCAAGGTCCAAATTGATTTTTACGTCGCGGCGGCGGTGGCGACGCACGACGGTGTCCCGACGCGAACCGCTTCCCCGTTGCCCGGGCAACCTCAACTATGACGTCATTCCTCCCTCCACCCTACCCTTTACGCCATCTTCAACCCCCCCCCCTGCTTCCATATTCCGCTCCACGCTCCCCTGCCTTCGCCGCTCTACCACAACGTTTCGTTTCCCATCCTCCGTCTCGCTCCATCCATCCCTCGACGCAAGCACACCTTCCTCGTCTATCGGTCCCGCTTTCGCTCGATTTTCCCTTTACCTGTCTTTCCCACCCCCTCTCTTTTTCCTCAAACCTCTTCGTTACCCGTTCATTCGTTTGATTCCATCGCCGTTTCCGTTTCTTCACCTCTCCTCGCGTGCTCGTCACTCGAATATATATGTCGTTTCTCCCCTGCTATTGAATTTAAATGTAGGTTTATGGGGCTACAGTGGCTACACTCATTCGAGAGATTTATATATCGATTTAATCGTTCCTCGATTTTAATTTCCCTCCAACTCGAAAACTTTACTTCTTTTTTTTTTTTTTTTTTTCTATTCGTTTTCTATCACATATTCAAGTTTAAGTTTTATACACCAAGTTCTTTCTCTCGGATTTCTCCATCTTCGTGATGCTCGACGCGTGTATTCAAACGCACACCACGATTACTATGTCTATATCTGTGTATTTAAATCCACTCCACTTTTCTCCCGTCCAATGCACCACGTGCATAAAATCTTCGCGCTCCAACTAATTGCACGTTAACCCCCTCCTCCATCCCGCTCCTCTTCTTAAATAACATTTTATTTTCCACAGTCAACGTTTCTTGTTCCTCTTGCTCGTTCACGCTCATCCTCCTGCTTTCGTCTCTTCCGGTCCTCCTTAAGCGTCCAAAATTCCACGTTACCAACCTCTTGCTCTCTTCCTCCCTTTCCTGATATCTCTCATTTCCCGTTTGTCGTTGCTTTTCCCGATTTCTGTTGAAGATGGCCCCCTCTCAGCACCTTCCCTGTTCCTGTTTTTAAACGCCCTCCTTTTTTATTTTATTACGCCTTGTTATTGCCATGCTCAACTCCTAATCTTCCGTTTCACACCAAGTTTTTATTCCTAGTTTTCCTTCCAGATTTTTCTTATCGAAAGAAAATTATTATATTTATTATTATATTTATTGCATTAATTCAGACAGGGGAGAAAAAAAATATCGAAATGAACGAGATTCGTATCGTATCGCCGTTTCCTTTCCGATTCGTAGAGATATTCTGAATATATGTTATACCGCCTAGACAGCTGATAACCAACTTGACCCGAATATGTAAATACACGGGATATATTTGCGACGATTAGCTTGGCAATTCTTATAACGCTCTTTGAATTTTCATTTATTCCAACAGGTCGTGTTTAATGCGAGATGTAACGTCGTCTTTGTTCTATATCGTGCGATGCTTAATTTATGTATGAAATTATAACTCGGGCAAGAGTTATACCCACGTTATTCTCTCTCTCATACGCGCTATTTATTTTATATTGCATTATTTCTTGTTTCGAACTTTCCCCGTGAATGAAATATAAACGCTCAAGGTAAATCATAACTAATAAATTTGCGTCGCAGGTAACAAGAAAGAGCAAATAACGGGATGTACGGATGGAAGACGACCGGGAAACAAGATATTAATTTAAAATTCAAAAAGAAATGGATCTCGCTAAAAACGGTTGAGCGTCGAAAAGGAAGAGAGAGAGAGAGAGAGAGGACGATCCAACGTTTGTCGTGAATATCCTGAAACTATTTCGGATGGGGCCAAGACGTAACGAGTGGGCCAGTGTGTGTATATGTGTGTATATGTGTGTGTGCGCTTCGCCGCCAGGTAAACTGACGACCCTAATGAACGTGCG